GCTGGGATTACAGGTGTGAGCCACCACGGCTGGCCAGACTTTTCTTTATTCTCATATGTGGCTCTTTGCATTGTCCTCACCTGGGGCACTGCAGACACTTAACTCATTTGTAAATTTTTTACAAATGTATTCTGGTCAGAATGTTTTTGTTATATTAGGATCTGTGGTATTTTGTAGTTCATATAAGTTAGATTTATAGTTTATATAAGTTAGATTTGTAAATGATATTCATCTGAGCCTAGTAAGTGGAATAATTTGTTATTTTTATTTCTTTCAGTTATATGTTCTGATTTTGCTAAAGACCTTTGGCCTGAGCAAGAGATAAAAAATTCTTTCCAACAAGTAATTCTGACAAGATATGGAAAATGTGGCCATCAGAATTTACAATTAAGGAAAAGCTGTAAAACTGTGGATGAGTGTAAGGTGCACGAAGGAGGTCATAATGGACTTAACCAGGGTGTGACAGCTGCCCAGAGCAAAATAGCTTATTATGAGAAATGTGTGCAAGTCTTTCATAAATATTCAAATTCAAAGAGATGTAAGATGAGACGTACTGGAAAAAATCACTTCAGATGTAAAAAATGTGGCAAATCATTTTCTATGCTTTCACAACTAACACAACATGAGATGAGTCACGCTGGAGAGAAACCCTACAAATGTGAAGAATGTGGCAAAGCTTTTAAAAAGTCCTCAACCCTTACTAATCATAAGATAATTCATACTGGAGAGAAGCCCTACAAATGTGAAGAATGTGGCAAAGCTTTTAACCAGTCCTCAACTCTTACCAGACATAAGATAATTCATACTGGAGAGAAACTCTACAAATGTGAAGAATGTGGCAAAGCTTTTAACCGGTCCTCAAACCTTTCTAAACATAAGATAATTCATACTGGAGAGAAACCCTACAAATGTAAAGAATGTGGCAAAGCTTTTAAACAGTCCTCAAACCTTACTAATCATAAGAAAATTCATACTGGGGAAAAACCCTACAAATGCGAAGAATGTGGCAAAGCCTTTACCCTATCTTCACACCTTACTACACATAAGAGAATTCACACTGGAGAGAAACCCTACAAATGTGAAGAATGTGGCAAAGCCTTTAGTGTATTCTCAACCCTTAGTAAACATAAGATAATTCATACTGAAGAGAAACCCTATAAATGTGAAGAATGTGGCAGAGCTTTTAACCGGTCCTCACACCTTACTAATCATAAGGTAATTCATACTGGAGAGAAACCCTACAAATGTGAAGAATGTGGTAAAGCCTTTACCAAGTCCTCAACTCTTACTTACCATAAGGTAATTCATACTGGAAAGAAACCCTACAAATGTGAAGAATGTGGCAAAGCCTTTAGTATATTCTCAATCCTTACTAAACATAAGGTAATTCATACTGAAGAGAAACCCTACAAATGTGAAGAATGTGGCAAAACTTTTAACTACTCCTCAAATTTTACTAATCATAAAAAAATTCATACTGGAGAGAAACCCTATAAATGTGAAGAATGTGGTAAAGACTTTATTCTGTCCTCACACCTTACTACACATAAGATGATTCATACTGGGGAGAGACCCTTCAAATGTAAAGAATGTGGCAAAGCCTTTAACCAGTCCTCAACTCTTATGAAACATAAGATAATTCATACTGGCGAGAAACCCTACAAATGTGAAGAATGTGGCAAAGCTTTTAACCAGTCCCCAAACCTTACTAAACATAAGAGAATTCATACCAAAGAGAACCCCTACAAATGTAAATAATGTGTCAAAGCATTTAATGTATTTTCCCCTTTTATTAAAACACAGGATAATTCATACTGGAAGGAACCCCTATAAATGTGATAAATGTGGCAAAGCCTTTAACCAGCTCTTAATCCTTACTGAACATAACATAATTCATACTAGAGTGAAACCAGCAAATGTAAAGAATGTGGAAGCATTTAACTGATCCTCAAATCTTACTAAACATAAGAAAATTTAGGCCGGGCGCGGTGGCTCACACCTGTAATCCCAGCACTTTGGGAGGCTGAGGCGGGTGGATCACGAGGTCAAGAGATCGAGACCATCCTGGTCAACATGGTGAAACCCTGTCTCAACTAAAACTACAAAAAATTAGCTGGGCATGGTGGCACGTGCCTGTAATCCCAGCGACTCAGGAGGCTGAGGCAGGAGAATTGCCTGAACCCAGGAGGCGGAGGTTGCGGTGAGCCGAG